GCTTTCTTCTACCTACTCTGTAGGGGTTTGATGTGTGCATTTATGGGAGGCTCCGTCTTCCCTATCTTTATCAACGTTTACAAAGTGGAAGCAGCCCGCTACCAGAGGCTCTCAGGCGTTATGGACCTTGCTTGGACCATTAAGGCATTCACCGCCGTGGTATGCGATACATTCGCCTTCCTCGGTTACACCAAGCGCTGGTACATGTTTGCCTCGTGCGTGGTGGGCAGCGTCTTCGCGTTGCTCTACGGCCTGCTGCCCGCCAAGCCCTCGTCTGGTGACATTGCTTCCTGTTTCGTCTTCCTGAGTTTATACGGCGTATCGAGTGTGGATATTCTTTCCGAAGGCTATTACAGCCGTCTTATGCGTAAGATCCCCAAGGCTGGTCCGGCACTGTTGAGCTGGATTTGGTGGTTTATTAAATCTGGAGGTACTGCAGGCACTTTGATCATAGGCCCGCTATCCGATCTTAAGATGCCGCAAGTCGGGGTGTTCATCGCCGCTGGGCTGCAGTTCATTGCATCTTTGATCTACCTCTTCAACCTGTACGGCGAGAAGACGAACCGCGAGGAGCGCATTGAGGATGCATGTAATATGCACAAGGAGCTACTCCTGGATCTCGAGAAGGGGAAAACACTAAGCCGTATGGAGGGGAGGGAAGGCACTTTCGATGTGGATCAGGAAAAGGCTCTAGAGTTGTTGGAGGCGAGCCCAGAGCTTCTTCTGCCGCAGCCGATCAACAGTTGCTGTGGATTTGTCGAGATCAACAAGGAGGTCGTCATGCGGAACAAGAGGGTTATTGCATACAGTGCTGTCATGACAGCCTCGGCCATGATCATGGCTCTCGCCAACGTCTTTGCCGATACGCTAGGGTTGCTTATTATCTGCGTAGTGGTGTCGCTTGTGTGCTCCGTGATGTCCTTCTGGGCATTGCCGCTCGTTATTGCAAAGATTAATGTATTTAATTATTTCTGTACATCGGTCTTCATAAATCTACCTGGGATTAACAAGTTCTACATTGCTGGACCCGATTGTGTTCCTGGTGGGCCGCACTTCTCTTTGACTTTCATATACACCGTATGCACTGTCATCTCTACCGTTTCGTATATAACCGGTATTTTGGTGTTCAACTACTTTTTCTCAAAGTCCAACTACCGCAAAATTATGATCATTACCACGATCGTACTCACACCTTTGATATTGCCCGAAGTCATGATGCTCAAGCGTTGGAATATACAGGTCGGCATTCCCGATCACCTCTTTTACATCGGTACCAGTACTATCATTCCACCACTGATTAACATGCTTATATGGATGCCAGCGACAATACTGTTGTCGCGTCTGTGCCCACGAGGCTCCGAGAGCACAGTGTTTGCGCTCCTAGCCAGCTTTCTCAACCTCGGCTACACCACCAGCACTTCGATAGGTGCCATCCTGATGGAGTATGTGTGGCCCATCAAAAGTAATCCGCCATGCGACTTCAAGAACGCCGTGAAACTCGTTATTTTCGGTCACATCCTCTTACCGCTCCTAGTCATCCCGCTGACCCTGTTGCTGCCAAACGTCCGTCTCTCTGACGAGATCGACGTCGATGGCAACGTGATATCGAAAAAGACAGACGAAGAGCCTCACGTAAAGCTTGCCAAGGACAGCAACGAGGTCCATTGAAGATCTCGCAGCGTGCGTGGCGGGCAGGATGAGCTATCTCTGAGAGGCAACGCGACCCAGGGGTACGGATGAACCCCAAATCAACTTTTTTTTACCTCACTTCACACGACACCCTTCCAATATAAAACAAACATTAGCGTATATATATAGAAAAGTAGTGAATATTCGTTTGTTTTATCCCTCACCTTTTAGTCACTAACACCACTGAAAGGTAATTAAAGCTGAGAGCCGTGCGGCCCCTTTTCGTCTACCTCTATACCTTGCTTTCGTCGTCCAGGCAGCCCCTGTTCTCTTTCCTTCTCTTACTGATTTCTTTGTGATGCTGTTGTAATATTATGCTATCACTCTTTTTCGATTTTAACTGTCTTGTACATGAACCGTTAACCACATTGATAGCTTAGTGAAACGGTACATTCTATTGCAACACCTCTCTTATGTTGTTAATCCACAGATCGATGAATGCATATGCATATATACATCAATAATACCGATATTCATTTTTATATATTTATTTATTTACTGATTGTTTTAATTTAGCTATTGATATATATATTTGTTGATTTAATATGCCCATTTATTTATTCGAGACTCAAAGAGGTACCGCTTGCTAGACGGGCTAGGCACTTTTTTCTATGCGTTCCCTGCGTTACGCTGTAGCGTGCAGCCATTCTCCATTTGGAGATCGCACGCCGAGCGCCTCGCTTGGCCGCAGGCAGATTCATCTTTGGGTAAAATACAGTCGCGGGGTGTTACTAATGAAAAATCTAAATCGTACTTTTCGCGCAATAAATTGAGTGAAATTATTAAAAAAAGATAAGTGAGAATTGCTAGCATATTTTATATTTTTGTTTTTCCCCCATTTCTTCGTAAAAGTCCACTGGCGCACTAACAATCCCTCTCCAGATCCTCTCCCACTGTAGCGCACCCCTTCCGGTGCTTACGGCGGTTAATCCCTGCTCTCCTCAAGCGTCGTTGCGAGCATGGTAAGGGTA